AACAGCCATAACATTTTGCACAAAGAGCAGATTCTTTTTAATTCTGGCCTTTTACTCACCATAATGATAAGCTTCCAACAACATTGCTTTCTCTATTTGGTGTACAGCTTAAACCCCCCTTTTACAGAATATATAATGATCGCTTCATTCTTCTCTTTGTGCAGCAATATCCTATTTTCTGGCAGTAATACTGTTTCAAAAGAAACTTCCTCTACTCCATTACATTAGCTTTTTCTGTTTTAAAAGCTTCATTTGTAAACCTTTTCCTAGCCTGTGTGTTCTCTCATGTAATAACATGCAAGGCCACAATTCCAAGCTCTCATCGTTTGTATTCCCCTGTTTCCTCTCAGTTCACAGGAAGGCCATTTAAACCTCTGTACTGCATTACCCTCCAAACATCTCTGAAGTCTATCACAATGTCAGCTAAAATACCCTCCAGTCCCAAAGAACAAGATTTTACTACATAGTAATACGTAGTACAATGGCAAGATCAGGCTCCTCGGTATCATTTCTATGTCTTGCTACTCCAGATATGTCTGTGTGTCTGGATAAATTTATTATCTTCCTTTGTACCCAGCTAGTGACTTGTTTCGGGGCACAAATCAGCTGGGTTTTTTCTCTCTTTGAATGGTAACAAATACAAGAGGATCTGAGCACGCACCTGGGTTCTACAGTAACAATCTGTAATAATACTATTACAATAACAAATGAGGTGTCCTGTCAGTCTGTCATTTGAGGATCCAGCTTTTGTTTCAGTAATGAGAAATATCTGTATTTTTCCTGCAGTGTAGTAGATGTAGAGAACAGAAGTATGACTTCCTGGTTCCTTTACATTATTTCAACTTGCAAAAATTTGCAAGTAGGTGCATTTCCCATGAAAGAATAATCACGGCATAGATGGCTCCAAAAGCACTTACATCAATGTACTTGCATGAGCCAAAACTTCTTTAGCATTTCTACAGAAACTCTGCCCTTCCATTTCTTTTCAACTCTGTCTGCCACTGGTTTCCTGGAGTATTTTTAAACTGATTTTACCAGCCCAGCTGCAGAGTTGCAGATATTAGTACCTGCATGGCATCTCCTGGGATTAAATCAGACTCCAGCTGCAGTTACCAGCTGTGACAGGCACTGCTTATGATTTGCTGTGATTGAGTGGAAAAATATCTTTCTTTTTTTTTTTTTGAGTAACATTTCTAGGCTTTATTTGTATTCAAAGAATATTTTAAAATAAAGATATTCTGTGGAGCATCTCACTTCACTTCTAAGGTTATGTTTTGCTTCCATTTCACCTGTTCTAATGCTTTATCTTTCCATCTTTTAATTACTAAACCCCAGAGCTTTAAGGGTAAGTGTTAAACAATCCCCCAAAACGGAGGCATGAAACACCTACACAAACTAGCCACAAATGCCATCTTATTTGTTCATAGCCCTCTGTTAATCCTTGTATTGAAATTATTTTAGGACTCTGGTGCTTAAAATAGCATGTGGATGACAGCAATACTGGCATATTTACTGGTGTTTCCTGTGAACTAGAACTCAGTCAAGTGTGTGTGCAGGGGCCTTCAATGAAGTATGCCATAAACAGTTTTCTCACTTGTCATTTCAAATAAATTTTAAATTACTGTCTCAGAACAGGTCCATTAAAATGCAGCATAAATCATACCCAAGCATGTAAACTACATTCTGTGTGTGTGTGTGTGACTGAACTACTTGAATAACTACATTAGAAGGCTTTGAAAATAAATTTAAGACACACAGTTATGAAAATTGCATTTATAATGAGTCTAAGTTACCCTTGATGAGTAATGTTAGGCAAAAGACAGCACTGTCATTATTGCCATAGCATTAGCAGGCAGTAACGTTATACTGGTTCTTGAGTGCACTAATAGCTCTGACCAACCTCACCTGGGGCCTCTACCCACACTCTCTGCCCATGAGCCCAGGAGCTCCATATAAGCTCAGTCCTGGACGTTTGGTCTCTGTTTGAACTAAGCTATAGAACTGTTTGTTTAGTTATGGGCTTTGCTTATTTAGACTGGTATGTGTAGGCTAAGACTGTGGTCTGATTTTCAACCACCTTTATATATATATATATAGATATATACTTGCTGTGGTAACTACTATATCATGTCTGTGCCTGGCTACATTCAGTAGGTATCAGCCTGGTCTGTGGACTGTTTTTTTCTGGCTGTACCTTGAGTATGTTTTACTGCTGTGAGCCTCTGTAATGGTTTGGGCTCTTTGAACTTGTCTGCTGTCATGACACCCGTATTGCTACTACTGTTTGCATGCTATAGGATGGCTAGTGCTTTGTTCAGTGTGTTTTTCTACATGGCTTCTAATTTCCCATCTTAGAGGAAGCATCCAATCTTTCCTGCTCCCTGGCAAATACAGGCTAAGGTGCAAGCTATTTTGTTTACACTGTTGCAATGCTTACTTATTCCTTATTTTTCTAATAATGTTGTTATGGTTTCTGTTATTGCTTTATCTAGACATCAAGCAAGCATGGACTAAAAGCTCGTACTTTATTCTGAAGAACCTACTGCCTAACTAGACTGTAAGGAATAGCAGATTGAATGAAGCAGAGAGCGCAGAATGCTAATGGCTAGGATAATATATTTCTGTTTCCATTCATCATTAGCCTAAGCTATTGTTTGTTGCTTTAAAATGTAATAGTAAAGCAAAGTTTGAAAGCGAAGGAGACCAAGCAATGTTTTCAGGGATATGTTCCTCACAACATTCAGGTCAATAATGATTTGTACAGTCCTAAAAAATACAGGGCTGAGAGAAAGCCATGAAACTGATTTCCTGTACTATGGGAAGGTGTGTAGATCTTGCAGGGCCACTGTTGGTTTAATCTCTTTGTTAAAATCTTCAGGCTAGGAGATGCTGCAGCATCTTTATGTAGATGTATGGTTTTAGTGTTCCACCAGCCTTACTGGGAAGTTTCTTTGAGGATCTAGGCCAGATTTGTGGCACTAATTCAGATTATTTCTTCTTGTACTGCTCTTTTTTTGGTTACAGTAAACAAATGCATTGTGATTCTGGCTTTATATTTGTTGAAATTTCAACTTCATAATTGGAAGAATCAAGTTTCCTCTGCATGACTAACACCTATTCAGGTGTTCCTGAGAAGAATTTCTTTGGGATCCCTGTAATCTCCTGTCGATCATTACGATTTTATGCATGCCTTTCAAAGTCTGGCGCAGCTCTCTGTATTGGCATTTTAGCTTTCATCTGTAAATCAACTTAGACCTTCAGATAACTTCTGCTATTTTGATATAGAGCTGATTGTTTTCCAATTGGTATTTGTACAGGGGCTTTTTCTTTCTTCTTTGAACCTCTCTACTGAGCTTCTTGACATTAAGCCATTCTTCCAGTTTGTTCTGATCATTCTCGATTCTGAAGACTCTTCTCCAGGAGCACTCACAGCTATTTTAAACCTATTTAATTAAAGGAGCATGCAAAGGGTGCCGTGTTAGCATTGTGTCTGGTGTTGTGGGTAGTTCATGAACTTTATAAAAGTTACTTGAGTATCTCTGCCACCTTGGTTTACACTGCTACCATCTGACTTTTGTCAGACTTAACACCTTCTCACCACTACCCATGGGCAACATCCTGAGGCTTCTCTGAGCTAAGAGGTAATGGTAGTAAAAGACCCTTGTGCTACAAGTGGAAAAGGCACAGAGAAAGAGGGGATGGTTCCCATTTTCTTCCCCATTTTTTTATTTCATTTCCACTTGTGGATATCAGGTATCCACCAGCAGGTGTAAGATAGCATCATGTCTCGTGTTAAACACATTCAGTGAAGATTCCAAGTATACAAGGGGAAATTCTGGGCAGCAGTTGTACCTCTTGCCTTGTTGAAACATTCCTGTGTTTTTCATTTAGACTACATCCACCTTTCTTATTTACTCCATTCCATTTTATTACATGAAAAGCACAGCATTATGTATTACAACAACTGGGTTATTTTGCATTGGCTTTTTTATTCTAGTAATAATTGGACCTTCCAGTAAAGTTCTCAGTCTCACTTGACATACAAAGGTCTAATTCCTTAAGGAATTGTTATTCTAAAGAGATATTATAGCATTGCTGTATCTGTCTCTTCAGATTTGCACTGTAACTTCCAGAAATTCATTTATTAAAAAATTTCTTTTGACTGCTGTCCTTAACAAATAAGGTAACAGAAGGGGTGTCATCTCTCATCTCGTACTAGCAACTATGCAGAACTCAAGGTCATGCACAGAATTGTACCAATCTTGTCACAACCTTACCGATTTTTCCCAGCTCTGCAAATTTCAGTCACGATGAAAAGACAAGGTGCTCACTGATCATCTGTCAATGCAGGACCAGCTGATGTTCTAAAATTCTTCTCTTGTTGTGTGATTACATTACAGTCTAAAATACAGTTTATCCTCAAATTGTCTTTCTCTTGTGTGGTAGTTGTTACCTCTGCAGAAAATCAGCCAATTCTGAATGAGAGAAGGAGTGTAAAGAGTTAACAATTTTGGTAAGGAATACTTAAGACCAAGACTGCAGAAACCAAAGGCCATGTTTTGGTACCTAATTTTAAAAGGAACAGTCAATTTAAGAGCTCAAAGAGAATGAAGAAGATTGTTAATTCAGATCCGGTTCCCACACAATGTCAGTCCCAGCAAAGTTAATGAGAGACAGATCTAGCAGTGTGGGAGGTCAGGAGACTAAGAGAAGCATCCTTCTCAGTTATAACCCACACAGTACCCAGCGTGGAACAGTCATAAATTGATCCCCTAGTTAATCAGTCTGGCTGCCCTCCAGCATGGTATTCATGTCATCAGAAGAAAACCTGACTCCCAAACAGCAGTGTTTTCTGTAATGCTGTCCCTTAGAAGGCAACCCAAGTTGTCTTCTGATTACAAGTCCCCTGTGGCTTCTGACAAACACTCTAAGATTCATGTTTGCAGCTGAACTTCTTGCTGGTCTGATGAACACTTCCAGGTTTTCAAAACTGCTGTGGGAAGAACATGAAGACTGCCTGCAAACCCACGTGTGCCCAGCTAAGTGCTAATTCTCAATATGATCAGTAAGTAGTGCAGAGTATTTGGGTTGCAGATCCTCTGGAGTACAATACTTTTCCTGGTTGTTTTTAAAAGCATCTATTAAATTAGCATTTATTTTTAAAAGTTTGGCCCTTTATTTATCTTTTTCTTGTCCGTATCCAAGGCTGGAACATAAATTTTGCACAAAGTCCACATGGAAACACCGTACTACAGTTTTTAAAACAGGATTTACTTTTCTGAACTGCTTGGGTATCACGCAGAGTGTTCCAGATCAGATGTGACTTGGATGGAGCTATGTTGAACTTTTTGCTTTGTCTGAAAATCATATCGTGCAGCAATAATGGTGTCTTTTCAATTGCATGTATTCTAAGAATGCTGATGCAGCACTGGAGCAGTGCCAGGTATTTTAGGAAATACATTGCTGTTTTCCTTGGCTCCCCAGGGAGCCCCTCTTAATGTTAAATTAGGCTTGTTGCTGGAATAAAGACCAATTTTCACTAAGTTTTTTATCTATGGTGATTCAGTGTTACATCAAAATCTTCACTTTAAAAATGAGAGCTGTTGTTAGCACCTTGTCTTCAAACAAATAATCTAGATAACAAGCACTATCATGTATATAACTGTTTCCTATCTTTTTTTTTTTTCCCATCTCCTTCAATGGCTGGCAACAGCTGTGCCTCAATTTTCTCCTGTGGTTTTCTTGTTTAGAGTTATTGGTTATTTGTTATGATTTATAACAGCAAAACTCTTTGATGCTTAAAAACAATGAAACACATACTTGGACATATTTAAATGAGTCCAACAGATGCATTGTCTGAGTCTATGTTGTACCAAAGGAGAGAGACATAGTTGACACAGGATTATTTCCTGCTGGAAGTTTGCCAAAGAAAAATTGGCCGCAGTTGCACTATTCTTTATAGCAAGTGGCCTCTAATGTGTGTGTTTAATAAAGCACTAACATCTGGACCCACAGGGTAAACTTTGTGTGTACAAGCGGTGTAACTCTTCAAAATAAATATTTATTTGTAAACTTTTCACTGAAGAAAAGCATCCTAGAATATCAGCTTTGGGGGCCATGCGCTGCTTTAGCACTACTTGGGATTTGTGGAGCTGAAGTATTAGATAAGCTCTGTTCTTTCCTGTGCTTCTAGTTCAATTGATGTGTTCTCCTTATGGCCTTGCAGGGATATCCATTGCATGGCCCCAGGCTTCTGCAGGCAGCCAGCACTGCTGCAATTATTGATCTCCCCTGGAGAGCCAAGGAATGAAATCACAGGAAAATGGAGCTGTGTCTTGGGATGGTTACTTCTAAGGTAAGGTACGTGGTAGGGCAGTGCACAGCAAGGCATCGGTTACCTTTTCTGACAGGAAGCTGCCTGTATTCATTCATTCATTCCTCAGTTCGTTTCTCCCTTCCCTGTTTGCTTCTTTCCCTCATTCTTGTACCTTACTTGACGCACAGCAGTTTATGCTGTAAGTGGCTATAACTTAAGCATGGGTTTGGTTTGGTTGGTTTGGTTTGTTGTTGTTTTTTTTTTGTGTTTTTTTTGTTGTGTTTTTTTTTTGTGTGTGAACCAAGTTCTGAGATATCCTCAAACAGGAGAAAGCCAGGAAGATCTTTTTGTTAAGCAGTATACCTACATACAAACATAGGTTACTGTGTGGTCTACCACAATATGCTAGTGAATTTGCTCCACAGTGTCCTAGTGTATAGCTGATAAATACTCACCTAATGTCTGAGGGGGGGAAAAAAGGTGGGGTGGAAAGAGAAAGGAAGTTATTTCTCATTGCTGGTGCTAATGCTTTGAATAGGTTGAGAAGCTCTGAAAGAAATCCCAGTATGTGGATGGAATTCTGCTCTATAAATGAAGTGGCTGCATAGAACTAGACAATCAGGAACTCACAGGGACAAAAGGAGTTACTGTAAAGAGGGCAGTAGATTCTTCGTAACCTGTCTTCTACAATTATGTTCCAAGGTGGTTTAGCTAACTTTATTCAAATGGGTGAAGAATGCAATATCAAAATCTGAGGTAGTAAATCGGCTTGTACATGGACTGTGTGGGAAGAGAAGTTACTCCTGACATTAAGTGGGAGAGGATAATTATACATAGCTTGGAACTTTGGCATGATGTATCTTGAGGATAAATGTGCAAGTGGAGTCCTTGTCTACCAGTGCTGAGCAAGCAGCCTCTACCTGTGCATCTTTTGGTTCATTACGTACAGGATGGCCTGTATCTAACTTTTTTAATGATGTCTAGATCTTGTAATATTCTTTTTTGCACAGGTTTTTTATGGATACTTTTGGTTGTGCAGTTATTTCTACTTCCTCCTCCAATCAGAGCACATCTTCTTGTTTGTGCATAGCCAACCAGGTTTATAAGACTAGCGTTCTCAAGCAAGTAATTAATCATTTCTCATTACAGAATTCATACATACTCAGCTTTTCACACATGGGAATAGCAAATTAGATCTTCCCTCAATAAAATGAAAAATTCACACTCTTCATATGAAATCACTGTCAGTGTATAATTATGTTTAAATATAAATTACATGGAATAATTTTATATATAGAAGAAAACTCAAACCAAATCAAACAGATCAGTGAATCCTTTACTTTTTTTCAAGCACAAGTCCTTTATATTTCTGGAGGAAGCCATACTGCCAACCTGTTGCTGCACATCAAGCTCCTCAGGACATAAGACCCTGAAAGAGATCATTTCCATCACTTTTCTGCTACCTGTGTAATACAAATGAAATGGGTGCCCTGGGGCAGCTAATGTGTTGTGGGGGGAGATACAACTACATGCGTAAGGACAGAGGTAAACATTCTTTGCAGAGCTGACCCAGGACTTTGTAAGGCTGGACCTCAGACAGATTGTCCCAGCTCTGGAAAACAAGCCCCTGCATTTCTTTCCACAGATGTGATGAGTTTTGCAAAATGGTTTGTTCTTTTCTTGATTGCTTTCATCCCCTCAAGGACAAAATTCAGTATTTCTGTGCAGACTTGCATTCCTTCCAGAATGGGTTAGTCTTCATTTTATTATATCCTTTCTCTCCTCTTCTTGCTAGAAGAGGGGTATTGAGAGCACAGCAAAAGCATCAGCTTTACAACTTTTGTATGGGTAAATCCCTGACATTTTCTTTGCTGTAATATATTTCATATGGATGTGAACTATTATGCATTTTGTGGTGCTTGCTAAGAAAAAAGGTATCCTGCAGCAGGGTAGCAACACAAGGTCTCTTACATCACTTCAGCCTTGTGCTCAGGGGAGTAAATGTGTTGTGGGATTTTTAAAGTATAGTAAACCTTTCTTAATCCTGAAGCATGATCTTAGATTTCACCTTGCAGGCAAGATTATCGGTATATAAATAATCATCTAGTGAGATGAAGGTATATACATAGGTGGGAAACACAGGCAGAATTCAGGTTGGCATTTTTCTTTACTTTTGAATGAGTCTGATCTCTTGGTGCTTGCCAGAGCTAAAGAGCAGAGCCCTGACAGAGCCCTGAAAACTAGACTAGCATCTGCTGCTGCCAGGAGAGGGGGAGATAATGTATGAAACAACAGCTACTTTGAGGGGAAGTGGAGCACGTGAGCCTGTTCTGGATCCTGTTTGCTTTTCTGTGGCAGAAAAAGCCAGCTCTGGGTGCAGCCGAGGCTATTCATCCTCAGGGCAGAGTGACTTAGTTTGCTTATAATGATAAGAAACCTTGAGCCACCTCTGGTGGTTGGCTTGCATTCACTGTGCTTTCCAAATAAGATGTGTACAATTAGTCATTAGCCACTTCACATAAATCAAACAGATACCTTAAAACAACAAAACAACCCCACCTTCAGGTAAAACTAGTTTATGAATGGTGGCAGATGTTCATGGATACTTACAGACAGATGAAAGACCTACATGAAATGAAATATTAGTAGAATAATAGAGAAGAAACAGCTGTTCCAGCAGAGCAGCAAGCTGTGGACTCTTGTGGGCCTAAAGACAGAAGGAGAAGTGGCAAGATGGAGAAATATGAGAGAATTGTTCCAGATGTCAAAGTTGCAGAGAAAGCTCTTGAGGTACTTTGAGGCTTTGTGAAGGGATCTAGAAGCAGCCAATTCTGAGTTGGTAGAGGAAGCAAGAGATCAAGGCAGTCAATGAATAATTATCTCATTAGTGTCACTTTTACTTTTCCACACTTGTATCCAGAAAGAACTGTAATCATGTCTTCAGTTGTTGCGGAGTCCAATGAATAAGTTTCTGTAGTGGCACGCATCCAACCATTTCTGCCTTCCGGTCTTTGCAGTGGAATACTCTTCCCTTGCCCAGAAATTTAATCTCTTCTGTGTCCACTAAACTGTCCAGAGATCTGAATTTCTGTGCAGGGGTCCAGACTGCAGGTTCTTCAGACTATCTAAATAAATAAAAAGAGGTTTATTTGCCCAATCTGAGGTACAGCCACCTCTGAGACAAATAGTGACACATTTGGCTGGAATGTTGCGGTACCAGGGGCAAAAATAAGTCCTCCTTCACTACTGCACTTGAAGGAATGGCACTGTAGTGCCACAGTATACAGCACTCGGTATCTGGCGAAAAGCCATCCACATGACTGAATGTGTAGCCAATTGATCTATGTGTTAAAATCCATTAAAAAAAACACCAATGACCCAACAACAAAAAAAAACCTCACCTAATCAACTTTATCTTTCTCCCAGAGCTTCAGTAACTACTGGCACCTTTAAATTGTGACAAGCAGGCAAGGGATCTTACTGTATTGCCTCTTTTCACTGTTCTGGCAAAGCACTGTGTCATTGATTGTTTTTCTATGCCCAGATTCAGCAGCTAGCATCAGGATTGAATGTCTCAGCAGTAGCATCATTCTTGAGAGCTGTGAATGTGGCAACAAAGAAAAGGTAAAGTCAGTTAGGTCTATAGTTGCATCCTTTTCCTTGGAGGGAAGAAACAGTTCAATGGGCAAGGACCAGTTTTCTAAAGGTACCTGGCACACAAAATGGCTAATAGACCCTTGTTGCAATTTGGAAAATCAGCACAATTCTTACCATCTGCCCCCTTACATGAAAAATCTACCCCTTGCGGACTGATCTTGCACCTATTGAAGTTAGTGGTACAAGTCTTGCTGATGTTCATGGGGCAGGATTAGGCCTTAGCACAGCTCGCTTATGAGTACTAGCATCCTTGTTTTCCTGGCAAGGAGAAAGTACACAGTGAAATGATAAGCCAGAGCCCTGTTCTGTGGCTAAGCACACACTTCAAGGTGTTGCTGGGTTAAGGCCGTAAGATATGATAATGAAAGATGATGCCTGCCAGATATGAACTCTCTGTGCAAATGTTTAGGGCATTTTAAAGGCTGGCATGGTGCTGAAGCAATAGCTGCATCACAGGATTAACTATCCTGGTTTATCAGGTATTCTTTAAAGAGGTGAGAACTGCAACCTGTGTCAGACATTGCGCTCTGCTATTCCCTACACTGGTGCTGAGGTTGCTAGGATAACTGTACAGAGGCAGGCAGCTGCAGTATTGGAGCAGGTGGTACTAGGTGGTATTATTAAATGTAATCATTTTGCCTGAGGGATGATTTCAGTATTCCCTCAGTAACATGTGACAGTGCTAAACTAGAGATATCATAATAATTAGAAACACAGCTTGCCCAGAAATATTTTGTATCCCTTAAGTATTTAATACAATTTTATCCTAGTATGAATTTGCCCAAGCAGTGCTACTTGAATTTTACTAGGTTTTACTTCGTTCTCATAGAACTGATGTTTCTGTCCTGCAGGAACAGAACAGGCTCTGTAGTGTGCTTTCCACAGTCAGTGCCAGTCTTTGCCCTCAGAGGCAGGCATGCCAGCTTTGCAGGTATCTCAGTCTTTGCTTAGGAAACATGACTTTAGTTTATTGTGAATTGTGTGTGTTTGAGGGTAGGGAGCAATTAGAAAGGAAAAAAACTGGATATTTTGCTTAAGTTCCTTCTTGAAGGTGATGATTTAGTAAAAATGTGAGATGTGTCTACTTGTGTAGTTAGTGCTGAGGAAACAGCTTTAAATTGGTTACAGTTTGAAATAGCAAAGATATTAGACAAAGGGAAAAGAGGAAAGGAAGAGAATGGCATTAGATTTTCTATGCATTAGTGACTGTGAAAGGAGTCAGTTACAGTTTTATACTTTGAAAGGAAATTTATACTGCTTCAGAAAACTTGGCCACAGGGCATCAGTCCTTACCACTCCAAACTCAAAATCCTTTTCTGGCTCTTGGACAGGTTTTAAAGATGTTTACTGTGTCCCTAGACACTGTTTCTTTCCAGCAACTCAGAGAGGGAATGGTAACTGCTAGCTATTGCTGAAGTACAGCCTTTTCACAGGGAACTATGCCTATCACCAATTCTGTTGGTTTGGGGTTTGTTTTTTTTTAATGTAGAATGAGAAGAAAACAATCCCCAAATAAAACCAAACAAATCCCATGCAGTAAGATTCGCTTTGTTTATACTTACTAGCTGGAGCCATGTAAGCAGTGAACAGCTCAACTTTCTGCGGAGATTTAATACCATGGTTCAGACTAGATTCTGCTACCAGAGCCAAGCTCATACACCTCAGGTCAGCCTGTGTATTTCATGTGTCTCCCCAAGAGCAGGTAGCATTTCTCCAGTGAGCATGGCCAGCTCTGTGACTGTGTACTGGCATGTTTTTTTTCCCCTGGTAATGCAGAACTGTGTCTGTCACAGCATCAAGCAGCAGGAAGTTATGATTATCTGCATTTTTACAGCTGACTTGACAACAGATGTTAAAATTACATTGACACATATCAATGCTTTTGAGAAAAGTATGCCACGTTATTGATAAAGTCAATGACTGACTTATGGGTCAGTAAATAGATAAACGGGGAAATGATGCACTATGTATCTCATCTCCCTCACTTTTAGATGAGGTACTCAAGGTATAGCAATGAGAATTTTTTCCATCTCACATTTTGATGGGGGTTTTTTATGCATTGGTTGCTTTATCATTTCATAGCTATTGGCTGATAAAACTTGCAGTTGTTTGGCTTCCTTTGTGCATACTGTTAAAATCAGAAGAAGGTTAGAAAAACCAAAAAACCTTAGGGACAAACTTGTGGCCTATATCAATTCTGGGGACTCCATAAGTAAACTCATTAAATGTCTACTGTTTTAGCAACAAAACTTATGTAAAACATTGGTTACCTGTGGTCTTAAATATGGAGTTTGTTACATGTCCTGTCACCCTGGAGAACTGCAGCATCTCGAGAACAAAAAAGCAAAACTCTCTTCTCTCTTTTACTCTGAATTTGCAAAATTTAAATCCAACAGCTGTTCCAGAGGCAAAGAGAAATTAAAAGCGTGTAGCAGGTGGTACCATGTATGTATGTCTAATTGCAATCTAACCATCTGCTAGGCAGCTAGAAAACAAAAAGGAGCTGGATTGTGATTTGGGCAAAGATGTGGAGCAGAGAGAATGGCAAAGTGAGAGCAAAAAGTCTGGGTCCAGGAAATCAGCATCTTTTATAGAGGAGGGCAATGAGTGTGACCAGAAGCACTGAGTCAGGATGCTTGCATTTCTCAAAATGTTCTCCTCTTGACTAGTCACTATCTAGAGAAACTGCCTATACATGCCAAGAATACTGGTGAAGGATTCTATGTCCAGTATAGGGCTCAGTACAGGTAACCCCGCTGTCTGTGTCGCCAACAAACATTTCAGCTGTGTGCATGAGATGTTCCGTACAGATTTCTCCAGCCTCAATCCAGAAAACATAATCTTGTTGGTTTTTTACTGATGACCAATACCCAAACATTCTGCCTCTCCCTCC